GGGCGGCCGGCGGAGGCACGGGGGCGCCGGAGCGGCCGCCTCAACGGCTGCGACCCTGCCAGCGGGGGCCGAGCTCCTGCGGGCGCCCCCGCCCCGCTCCCTCGGTGCCGCCCTCTCCTCCGCCCCGTCGCCGCTGCGTGGGGCTGGGCCGGGAGGAGACACCCGCCTCTCCGGGCACCTCCTCCCGGCCGCGCGGCGGAGGAGGCTGCGGCCTGGGCAGGGGCCGGGGGAGGTGGCGCGGAGGGAAATGGCGGCCGGGCCGAGCTGAGGGGGGAGGAGAGCCGCGCCATGAGGCTGCTGCGCGCCCTGCTGCGCAGCGCCTCCCCGGGCAGCATCCCGCAGCAGGTGGACTTCTACTCGCGCTTCTCCCCCTCGCCGCTCTCCATGAAGCAGTTCCTGGACTTCGGTGAGTCCCCGCCGGGCTGCCCGCCGCCTCCGCCTCCCCGCCCCGCTGCCCGCAGGTGCCTGTGAGGGAGCGGGGGGCGAGAGGGGAGGCAGGAGGCGGCTCCGGCGCGGCCGTGAGCTTCCCCGCCCCCCGCCGTCGTGTTAGCGCTACCGCGTTGCCCAGCTGTTGCTTATCGCTTCTTAGTACTGTCCTTTTTGGCAGAAAAAGGCTCTGCTTCCTTCCGGAAGGAGGGAGCGCAGTGGGCTCCTTCCCCGGAGACTGGAACTGTGGCAAGGTTGAAATTCGGCTGAACGGTCCAGTTTTTGGCATCGCAGAAGTAGTTTGTTTTTTTCCTGCAAAACCTGCAGGGTTGGGTAGAGGGTGGGGGCAGTTTTGACAATTGGTACTGTTAGAGTAGTGACTCAGGACCAAGTGAGATTTTCAAGCCTTTTGCAAGCTAGCAGCATGCCACCATTTAAGGTCCACCAAACACAAGAAAGGTTTAACCTCAGCTGGCGCCGAGCAGCTGAAATCATGTCACTTCTCAGTCACGTGTGTGTGCGCCCTACAAAAACACCTTACCCAAATGATGTTGTTTTAGAAGAGGTGTGAGAGAAGGAGCAGGACGCAAACACCAAGAGCCGTTCTGGAGGACTGGGAATCTAGCCTTGAAAATGAGTACATTGGTAACAGGATCCTCAGTCTTACACTCTGCGCTAAAACCACTCATAATGCTCCCAGGTTTGACTGACCACTTGGAAACAAAAGGGATCACAGGAATTGTTCTGTTCTGCTTCAAAGCAAAGACTATGCAGGGAAAGGTCTTGTAAGTCACGTGAGAAACCTTTCCAAAGCCTGGGGATGGAGCCATACTATAATAAATGCTGTTATTGTACCCAGGGCGCTCTCACGTGCATAAATGTTTACATAAATGTTGTGTATAAACATTTAACTAGGTAATAGTTACATTGCTTTTTACATTTTCGTAAGTAAAACATAACTGAGAACTAATCCTAGAACGCCATACTTTGTGTAAGTAGGAAGACTTAGAAAGAAAAGTTTCTCTTAACTATCCACTCTCACTTCATCCATCTATTCAGCATTTCATATGTTGCAATAAAAGGTATCCAATATTTAAAACTCCAGATTTGTACAGGACCCCCAGCATATATTCTGTTGCTACCATACTTTTAAGCAGATAATCTCGCAATTCAGAGTTTGCTTTGACCTGTGTTATTTTACTACTAAAATGCCGATAAAATAATGCTTATCTTAAAATCAGTGTTTATTTTCAAGGAGTAGTATTTCCTCATGTCAAAAGTTAGGCTACTTTTTTGCTGTTAGTACCTGAACATAAGGAAGGTACAGATAAGCTTGAAAACTTTTATTTTCTCTCTCTCTCTTTTACTTAAGGATTTAATAGTAAAGATAGTAAAAACTAATAACAAAGGCAAAAAAAGAGTAGAGTGCAATACCGAGTATTTGTCTGTAAGACATTCTGTAAGCCATTATAATCTGATGGTGTTTTCATTCAGGATTTTTTCGGGTCCTTTTGCTAAAGTGAGAGCAGTCAAAAAGGAAATCATAAAATCTGGTAATGTTAACTTTAAAAAAGAAAAAGTCTGCTTCTAGTTGCCCCAGGTTTCGATCTAGCAAATTAAATATTCCATATGCAAATTTAGGTCTGGGTCATATACATCTGTCATATCTTGGGTTATAAGCACACAGTATTTTCTGTAAGAGTCTTACCCATTCTTTGCCTAGATAGACCATAGCTGCACAGGGAAACAAAGCCATTTGCCCATTCACTGAAATCTTGTTTACCCTAAGCTGTCTCCCATATTTGACCCAGGATTGCAAAGATACAGCCTCCAGATAAAAAAGTGGAATGTCATTTGCTGACTATATGAGGTATTTGAAGATTATCTTTACTTCTAATACTTCAGTCTGACTTGTTCATGGAATTTTAGCTGAGAAAAGCAAAAGGCCAGTAACAGTCATGCCTGAAGTGCAATCTGACTAGGGAGAAGAATGAAAGGTTTCTGGGCAGAGGTCATATGTAGACAACGCATAATACTGGTAAGTGTCACTGGGGAGGAATTCCTTGTAAGCTATTAATTTTTTATTAAGTTAACTGACATGCTCTCATCAGTGTAGTTTATGATGTATCTGAGTCTGGATGCATTAAACTACTCCATTTCAATTTGGTGAAGATTTTTCCTGTTTAAGACACTCCCAGTTCCCTCTTTTTCCATATCCCTTCCTTTAATCTTCTTCCCCAACTCTCCCTTGCCAAATGGAAGGAATGAACTGAGCAGAAACATGAGAGTTAATTTGTAGGAGTTACCTGTTGTGAAACACCAAGCCTGAGGTATGTACTTCACTGCAGCAGATGAACTGGTTAGTAAGTCCAGATGCTGTTTACATGACACTCTTGAAATCTAGAAAAAAGTGTGGCTGAGAATAAAGTACAGCATTTCTTAGCCTCTTCCCCACTCCACACCCTCCTTTCTTGCGTAGTAAAACAAGCATTGTGGGAGTGAATTTAGGTCTTGATCTTAATAACCACATTTAATTGCCACCCACACAGATGACACCTGTCCTTATAAAACGACAGGTCAGTTATCAACAGGTGCAGTAATTTAGCTTCTAGCTTTTAAAAATGTAAAAAATTCAAAAAGTAAATATATGGGAGAACTACTATTCTCATGACTAAGCACTGTAGCTGTCCTACTTTAATTTCTCTCTCAGTATTCATGTGAATTCATTCATCTGTCTTCTATTCCTGTAAGACAGTGAATTTAAATTACAACAGATCTAGCTGAAAATGAGATAAATATTACAGCATTTTTTTACTGAAAGTGTTCCAGTATGAGTTATGGTAATTAAGTAAGATCAGTGATCAAGCAGGGTGTATGGGACTATGATACCTTCTCAAGCATCATTCCCATAAATCATTTCCTGTGCTGGTTTCATTTGCCTCTCTGACATGCTCAGAATGACATACTGTTTGATCAGTACTAGTTACAGTCAATGTTTGCTGCAAATAAAACGGAACAATTTACATGGATAGAAGTGATATTTAAAGTTGAATAGTATGGGTTGGCAACTATTGCATGAGTTACACTTTATATATTGAACATTCTTGTTACTGCAACAGGGCTGGTAGGTTTCAATTTGAGTTTACATTTTGAAATATAAATGGGCCGCTGCCATGAAAGAAACATTGGCTTACCAGACTGGCCTGTCAACTTTAAAACCAAACCACAGACCTCTTATGCAAGAAAGTAAGAGTTTGTGTAGTTCTCTACTGTAAGTACTGACTTTATTCTGAAGCTGCCATATATTTACTTTGGTCTTAGGATCTGAAAATGCTTGTGAAAAGACTTCATTTATGTTTCTGCGACAAGAGTTGCCTGTGAGATTGGCAAATATAATGAAGGAAATAAGCCTGCTTCCAGACAACCTCCTAAGAACACCTTCAGTTCAGCTGGTGCAGAGCTGGTAAGAACAGCATCATTTCATACCTTTAAAGATGACTTTCTGCATATATACAAGTTGGAGGAATTCTCTTCCACAGAAAGAACATTTCATGTGCTCGTTACATGAACATCGCTTATTTAGACTAAATATCCCAATGTAACATAAATCAGAAACTAAATTTACAAACTTGGAAAAAACCCTTTAGGAGCAATCAGAGAACCCACAGGGAATTAAAAATCTTTAAGTATTGCAGATAGTCATGTATGAGAACTCAGTAAAACCAAAAATCCACCAGAACAATGTTTAATAGGGGACTTACCTAAAATGAGGAATCTGGTTAAAGAAACCAACAGAAGAAGGCTAATGCACAAAATGCTTGCAAAAGCTAGTAGAAACCATTTAAAAGACAGGTTATTGCAGATTGAGAGTAAAGGAAGGTGTAGAAAATACAAAGAAAGAGCAATAGGAATCTCCCAAAGCCAAAATATGTAAAACAACAGAAAGAATATGAGGCTATTAAAATAAAAAAGACATAATTGGAAGAGTAAAATTTGCTTTCAAGTAAGGAACTTAAACATAAACATAAGCTTTTGTAAGATGAGAGCAAAACAAGGAGATTGCTTGGCAACTGCTAAAGGCACATGGGTATCTGGAAAGGCTTTTAAAGTTAAGAGAACAGAAGATCTGCCAGTGAATAAGTGGGATTGATTAGATGACTGGATATAAAAAGAGCTATCAATGAAACACGAATATTTAAATTCTCATTATACTAAATGACATTGATCAGATGGGAAATGAATCCAACTTGGACAAATGCAAAGCAGAGCCCAGAGAGGAACGTCGTCTCCCTGTATGCTTGCTTGCTTACAATGGAAAAAGAAATTTTGATGCTACTGGGGATATTTTTCTGACTATGTCAGTTGATGGGCAAGAAGGCAAATAGTGTTAGGAACTAAGTAACAAATGGGGAGGAATATAATTGTACCACTGCGTTAGCCCATTATTCCTCTGAATTGCATGCAGTTTCAGTCACTCCATCCTGAACAGAAAAGACCAAGAGGGATAATCAGAGGGTTGGAACAACTTCTACGTGAGGAGAAACCAAATAGAATTCTTCAGCTTGGAAAATACACATCTAAGGAAAGAGATGGCAGAAATACTTAAATCATGAACAAGCCAGGAAGATTTTCTAATAACAGAACTCACTGGGGCTGCAAATAGGTGATCACCTACTGGGTTTAAAACACAAAGAAGATCTTTTATGCATTCTGATTAAATTGTGGTATTTATTGCTCTGGAAATTTTGGAAGAAAACATCATGAATAGATTCAAAAGTATCTAACAAAATTCACAGGGGATAGGTCAATGGGATGTATCAAATACAATGATTTGGAAACAAGCAACCTTGGAAGACCATAAATTGCTAACCAAAGGGATCTGAGGAGGCATATTAGAATTGGTCTTTGTCATTTTTCTTTCCTTTAAAGGTATGTCCAAAGTCTTCAGGAGATCCTTGACTTTAAGGACAAAAGCTCAGAAGATTCAGGGGCTATTCATAGGTAAGGATTTGCTGTCACATATGTTAATATTATGGTAATATTATGTTAATATTATGTAGAAGGACTGGCAAGAAAATGATAGCCTAGGAAGAATTTCAGCTATCTCCAATCTTTACATAAGAATTGTAGTAACGTCACCCCCTGTCCCTAAAAGGAGGGTACACTAAAACATGAAAAAAAGCACTTTTATACCGTATCATTCTGGTCAGGACCTTTTTTGGTTACACTGAAGAAGCTATGAATACATTAAGCTTGACCAAATGTTTACCAGTTCCTTACTTGTAATGTTGGAACCGATGTGTGGAACTTTTCACCTGTAGAGTAGGTTTGGTCATCATTGGCTGACCATAACTGCCATTTGACAGGCATGGGATGATCTGCGTGAAAATGGTTGGCAGAATTTTCTCTTTTTCTTGGCAGTAATCAAGATAATAACTAATAATTTTATAAATAATCAATAAAGGTTGAGTAATGATTGTTTCAATGCTAGTCGCTTGAAATATGCTGTAAAGACTGACCTGTCTTCTTATTGTCATAGGCAGACCTGTGATATTTCTGTACATAATGGTCTTCATTTTTGTAGGCAGATACTGTGTTTGCCATAATACTAAATTCACTTGAAAGTGAAATACTAACAATGTATTTATTTTAGTTTTACAGATACTGTGATAAAAATCCGGAATCGACACAATGATGTAATTCCTACGATGGCTCAAGGAGTAATAGAGTACAAGGAAAGCTTTGGCATTGATCCAGTGACCTCACAGAATGTGCAGTATTTTTTAGACCGTTTCTACATGAGTCGCATTTCAATTAGAATGCTCCTTAATCAACACTGTAGGTGCTATTGTTGAAAGAAAGGGAAATGATACCTGTACTATTGTCAGCATATTTTCTTCTCATTTTTAAGTGCTTAATATGTACTTAAATGCTTCTTAGGAGTACACTATTTGCCTTGCTATTTATAAACTCATTCTTAATACACTTCTTAAAATATTTATTAATAGTAGGCTTTCAAGTATGGTGAAGATTGGAGTTATAGATTGCCTATAAATTTCTGTTTAGCAAAACTGAAGACACAAACTAAAATTATAAAATTATATTGGGAATAAAATAGTATTTTCTTTTTTGGCAGCTTTACTGTTTGGTGGGAAAATTAATCCAGCTCATCCAAAACACATTGGAAGCATTGATCCTAGCTGCAATGTTGTTGAAGTTATTAGAGGTAAATTCAGCAGATAAGAACAAGAATCCTGAAAACTTACATGAACGGCTACACTGAGAGCCAATACACATCTTGATATTCATATACTGTTTAGTTCTTTCCTACGTGGAGGAGAAGTTTCATTTAAAGTGTAATACAGTTTTGTCACTTTTCCCTGTAAACCTAGTTTGTGTGAGAAAATACAAAATCTCCTTTACAGTACAGTGTTTTCAATTTTAGTTTTTCTTTTTGGCAAACTGTAAAGGAGGAAAAGAAAAAAATGGAGGGGGAAATGTAACTTCCTGTGTTTTTATTATAGATGGCTATGAAAGTGCCAAGAGACTTTGTGATTTATATTACATGAGCTCTCCAGAACTCATCCTTGAAGAGCTGAATGGTAAGTGAATATGGGACAAGGCACTCTCTTGAACATAGTGACGGCTTCTTCTAAAGTAGCTGGTGGTGAAATGTTCTCTTTCCACTTTTCATATAGTTGATGTGTTCTCTCTTCTATACTGTCATAAATAGTTTGGGGCTTTTTTTGTGTTTTTTCTTTTGTTTTTGTTAAATCTGGCAGAAGGCTTTCCCTATTCCTCCCTTTAATTAGAAAACTGGAATCTGTAGAAAAGTTTTTGACACTACAGCTGTTGATATAAATTATTTTAGCAGCCTCCTTCCCTCCCTAAGTTTTCTTGCATGTCTTCATCCTATGCTGTCTATTGCATCTTGCCCTCTGCATTTCTTGTGACACTTAAGATTTATACTAAACATTCCATTGTAATTTCTCTTGCTTATTCAGCTGTCATGTTCTTGTAGCTGTAATTAGATATAGTACACTCAAGTTGTGGTAAAAATTATTTGAACCCATTGGCTGTAAACTGTTTTTTCAAGTCACAGCTGTGTTGCTGTGAACTCAGAGGTCAGCTATTGCCCTTGTAGCCTTGCTGAATGCTAAAGAGCCTTTCTGACACTACTCACTAGAGTACTTTACAAGATACTAAATGCCAACTTCAGACAGACCTACAAAAACAAGCAATCAACATTGCTTCTACAAGTCATTGTGAAAGCCAAAGTGCAACCACAGTAACTTGGCCTATGAAGCTAAAGGCAAAGAAAGTGTGGCCTTGACTACACATTCTAGATCTTTTCTTCCTACTGTACAAAACCTGTCATTCTGTATCTAGGTTAAAGAGTTTACCTCTTGTTGGAGCATGATACTAAAAACACTTGTAGGAAACTATCAGTCACACTAGCTAATTCTCTGTACTGAGGGGTCATTTAATGGTGTACATGCTCCAGAAGCCAGAACAAATAGTTGTTTTTATAAAAGGAGTGACCTTTTGCTCAATGAATTGTGAAGGTGAGTTAAACCTGATCCAGGGCAAATGCACGTTCCTTGCCCACAGCTGAGAGTGGAGACCATTATTTAAACCTTAGGCATGGGATCTGGGGGTGGAGGCATGGAGGGAAGCAGTTACCTTGAGGATAGAAACCTAACATATTTCAAAGAGCGATTCCCCCCCTCCCC